TCTCACCAGCTGCTCATAAATAATCCTCGTACTCTGGCTGCACACAAACGCTTTCGCCTCAAGGCGTCCGGAGGCTGTGCGGTGCGTACGACGAAAAAGACACATAAATGTTCTTAGAAGTTCAGTCTTACTCAGAAATAATGACAGCTCAGAGGAACTTTTCAGGTAAAGAGATCCGGGCCAAGCCACTCCTTCCCAGATTTGACAGGAATCTGGGCTCTATCCATGCAGGTTACACCACACGGCGGCCCGGACTCCCTCCCAAACAAGCCGTGTGTGAATTTTCACGCACATGAATTCACGAAAGTAATTGACTGGGTGGGAATGGACTGTGGACGGTGGTGGGGGGAAGGGGGATTTGAGGTGGTTTAGAGCGGCACTCCATCACCGTGTGGTCTCTGAATGGGCTCCTTTCTTGCAGTGAATGATATAATGGCTTTTAGCTGAAACACACCCTGAATTACAGACACACCCTGCTGCTATTACAACCAACCTAGCGAGGAGGAAGGAGGGAGCGAGGGAGGGAGGCGTTGAGGTCAGAGGTGTCCATATTTGGTCATTCATGCCTGCCTTTTTTTCTTTTTTTTTACTGTAAGGTCTCCGTTCATTCCCCCTTCTCTGTTTGTTTTTGTCACTTTTACACTGATGAAAAGGAAATTTTCTGAATTTTTGTTCTCACATACTTTATATTTATTTATCCCCTCTTTGCTCCCACCCCTCATGAGCATCTGGTCTCGCTCAAGAAAACACACAACCTCTGACCTCTGAGCTGATATTTTAGCTACTTCCCATCCGTTCTATAGGGAAAGGAGAAAAGTTATTGAATTTTCCAGGCAGGCATGCCGGGTAGCCACCGTTTTCTGCCAAGCTGCTGAACGTATAGGAAAGCCAACGGAAACATTCCTGTGATGTCGGCAGGCCGCGAGCAAACATGACACACCAAGCTGGAAATGTGATTTTAGGTTTGCCACTGGGCACCGGCCATGTCCCGCTGCGATGTTGGGGGAGCAAAACGGGGGAAGAATGTTTCTTTTTTTGTTTGTTTGTGAGGTGCAGGGAATGATGTGTAGTTTATGCAAAGGCTTCCTGCTGTGTTTGCACCAGGTCTTGTTATTCCTGTCTCTTATCTGGTGAGACTCACTGCAGTGCATCGGGAAGACAAAACAAACGACAAGTCAAGTTCTTTTTTTTGTTTTGTTTTTTAGCAGAACCGCCTCATTCCTTTAAATCACTGGTTCTCAAAGATTAACATAAATACTTGTCAACTCAAGCAATAAATCCCAAGATTTCCCGGCATTTAAAAATATTAATATATCAGAAAGATGACTGTCAGTTTGGTATGTTTTGAATGACAAGAAAATATATTTTTCCCCCTAAATTTGGAGTTCCAGGAGTGAAAGAAAGGAAAGATGTTTCTCATTACTGCTGCTCTTTATGCTCTTAATATCCAATATGGCTGCTGCGTTTCTAAAACATAGCAATAGCTGTAGTAGTAACGGATTTATTTCCATGGTGTGTTTCGCAAAACCTATTTTTGAAATTTAGTGTCTTAATTTGCAAAATGTTCTGTTATTAGGTAGTATTGGTATCTGTTCACTTTGTCATCAACTAGTTTAATAAAGCAAGCTAGCACATCCTGTTTGGTTCCTAACTTGTAACTGGGACAGAAGTCTGGATATTATGAGATGTTAACTGAAGTTATCAAGTAATTCACTTACCTGTGACAGAAAAATACATAGTGAGTTTTTGGAACAATGAAAAAATCTCTGGCTAACAGGTAACTTTGTTGTAGGCTACAACATAGCTGTTAGTCTACAACAGGGGATTCTGTTTTAGCTCATTTTAGCTATGACTTAGCTTGAAAATGTTAAAATTTGTGAGATACAATGCTAATATGCAGGATACTAACCACTGTAGAATGTTTTAAGCTATTTGACCTCAAAGCCTGTGGTAAATGAGGCCAGCTTAAAATGGCAGCCATATTACTTTAAGTTTTTATACAGCTTTTAGCTGATGTTGCTAACAGGAGACAACAGCAGAAAGTTTTACGGCACCTGCTTTTTTAAAAAGCTGAATTACAACAGTCTTTATTGGACTGGATGAGGTCAAAGGTCAAAAGGTCAACAGTGGTGTTCTTCCATTAGGAACTTAATTTATGCCAAAGGTTTTAATGACCGTGCACATTCGTCAAGTTTAAACATTCAACATAAGAAATTCTGTACAAAGTTTGCTTTAAAGGTAGAAAGTGTTCCAGATATACAGTATAATCCAAAATTTAACCTAATACGCTCATGCTGGTATGCTAGTGGATTGCAGTATAGCTAGAAATGCTTGCTAATATTTGCTAACATGCTACAAAAGAATATTAACTAATTCTACCAGTTTATGAGCTAATTTTAGTATAACCTTAAGTATATATTTTAGCTAGCAATAATATATGAGTTAATGTTAGCATACAAAAGAGAATTAGCATTTAATGCTAGCCATTTTTTCCTTAAGTAGCTTCCTTACACAGAGCAGCTGAAGCAACTAGCTGCTAATACAGCAGCTAGCTTGTGACACACTGCTCCATTGTACGGGTCATTGTCTGTTCTGGACATAAGTGTGTTGTCTTTTAAAATGCTGAACTTCAAAGTTCTTCTTGTAGCAATCATTGCTTTTTAGAAAGATCATTTTAATTATCACAAAACTGCATAAACTTTTGGGATTGATTGTAGTCTCTCATGTTCATTATCATACTTCTAATTTCATTTACATCTAAACAAATACAGGTTTAAGATACTAAGTTTAATTACAGCTATTTTTTTCTCATGTGTCTTGACAATATTGTTTTTTTTTGTTTGTTTGTTTATTTCTTTTTTATGATCATCCAAATGTGTTTCAGTGTGTGTTTTTTTTATTCACAGTTGCTCAAAAATAAAATGGTGAAATGCACGAATATGCCTGGATGGTTTGCACTAATTTATTACTTCTATTTTCACAGTTGGTGAACAGGTATTTTTTATGTTTCATATTAAATCTGAGGACTAGTTAAATTACCTTGCTAATGTCTCCCTGCTGCCTGTGATAGCAGAATTGGCTCTGAGCCTTTAGTTCCTCTCTCAGTACGAATCCCACAGAACCGCTGCATGAAAACGGGTTAATTTAGGGCCGTCCCATTCAGCACAGCAGAGGTATTACGCTTCCGTCCATCATTTCCAAGCCACGGCCTTCCCCCAACACAAAACTCCTCCTTTTACTGCTCATTTGAAGCATTTCCTGGTTAGAACTTGATTTTACTGATAAAAAGGTGTTATCTCGCTCTACCTCCCCTCTTAAAGTATACTGCGTTTTTTTTCTTAGCTTTCCAAAGATCAAGGCGAAAACAAATGTCAAGTGTGATTTGGCAGTTGAAGTGTTTTCCTTTGCTTCATTTAATTAGATCATCACCTGCAGCGGTTCCCATGAGTAGCAAACGTGTCTGATCACGAAGGCTGGTTCACCTGTCTCACAGACTGGAGCAAATCATTGAACATTACAACACAGCATAGTATGTGTGATCAACGTTCTTGTGTCAAATGTAACTTTTTAAGAGAAATATCAAGAATAGCTGATTTGCACAAAGCTGAACGTATTGCAATTTGTGCAAAATGGAAAAGGTTGAAATGTTCTCTTACTCCTTAAAATTATATATTTTCTCACATTGCAACCACAAACTGCAACATATTTTATCGGGATTTTTCAACAAGACATAGAGCCTCAATGTGAAAGAGAAGAAAGCACTTTTACAAGCTAAGCACACCATGCACAGAGTGAAACATGGTGATGGTAACATCATGCTGTGGGATCTTTATACTTTTTGAAAACCATGAACCCTTTAGCTTCCACTTTTACAGCTATATGCTACGTTGTGTGCTGATCTATCACATAAAATGTTTAAAATAAACATTGAAGTGATTTTAATATGACAGAATGTGAAAAAGTTAAAAAGGTGTGAATACTTTCACATAGCACTGCAAGGTTAGCCACACGCTAAAGTGCAGAGTTTTAGCTAATCATCAAACAATTTGCTGTTGTTTTTCTGGGTTACTTTTTTTTTTTTTTTCCAAGAGTGCAGCTATGAATTGTTTCTATGAAATAGTTTCAATCCCTTGGCAGAAACAGGTTCCAAAAGGGTTGGGTGATTTGACATTACCACTAAGACACATTTGCAGAAGTAGTGGTGAGTCTCAACACTTGTCACTGTCTACTTTTCTCTCTTTCTGACCTCTGACCTTTTTCAACAAGTTAGAAAACAAATGCGTTCTATGAATGAGAAGGTGCAAATATGACCTTCATTCAAGCAGACAATTTGGGCACCATATAAACACATAGCAGGGTAAAGGGGAGGGTGTGAATACAAATGCACAACGAGCTTTTTTATTTGTAAAACATTTTGAAATTCATATCTCACTTTCCTTCTAATTTATATGCTCTACTTCCTGTTGGTCTGTCGTATAAATGTCTAACTTCCCGAATCTTGTCACTGAATACTTCGTGTGGAATTATTCAAACTTTTTTTGGCAGATTTGGACCACAAAAGTACCAAACAGCTGGTTTCAAAGCACACGGTGTTCAAAGTAAAGCACGCTGACACATAAGGGGAGACCCTCGGATAACCTAGCTCATCCTGAAAGTGACTGGTACTTATATGGTCATAAAAATCCTAAGCATGCACATACCAGGCTCATTAAACGTGGGGTTTATCGGTATCCCCTCTCCGCCCTCCTCTCTCAACTCTTTTCAAGTTCATTTTTCTCTGTGGCGTTTGGATCCGCCTATCCGCTGTCAATCATTTTTTGAGCCCGCCTTACTCGGAACCCGATTGGCTGAAAGTGCTGGGATTATTAGACAGCTTCAGCCATTGGCTGGCGGAACTGTACGTGAACAGTAGGTCCCGCCTCTTCGTGGACCGCACCCCGGCTCAAGTGAAATTAGGCGAACCAGTAAGCAGACGGCAGAAGAGGGAGGAGGGAGCGAAAAAAAAAAAAAAAAAAAAAAAAAAAAAAAAAGCGACAGAAACGGTGACTGAAGTTTAGGGAGGAAGCGAGCGCTGTAGTTTAGTCTGAACTCTCTGCTGTCGACAGGAAAAAGAAGTTTTGACTCCGGCGACGCTGACTGAGCCCTGCGGTTGTTGATAGCCATCTTCTGAAAGGCGAACAGCAACCAAAAACCAGGTAAGCTTACCTCTTTTTAGGCGCTCGTGCTTAGCTAGGTGCTGTTTTATAACTCATTCAGTAGGTTGGTCAGAACAGCAAGTGCAGTGAACCAGGAAGCTCGGTTCGCTAGTTGACCGCTGAAACTTCAGCAACCGAGCTGGGTGGAGCGTTACCTCCTTCTGAGATTTAGCGGTAGTTTTCTTCCGCTTAGCAACTCTAACGCATTTATCGATTGTTTTAAAATTACATTCGCGTGCGAATGCGTTACATTTTGGGAGCACAGGCCATCAAACTCAGCCGTAGCAGTGGCAGCTGGTGAGAGGCTAAACTGCAGAGCGGCGGCGGAGGCAGGAAGTGATTTACTTGAATGAATTCTTGGAAAACACTGTGAATAGTTTAAACTCAGGTGGACGTGAAACGATGAGTTTTCTTTTTAAAACCTCAAGCTCGGTAACAGACAATTGCTTAGCTTGTGGTTGAAGTTTTGGAAGAGTAGCGGTCAGAGACAGGCACGGTGTGTGGCTGGTAACATGTCTGACTGGCAGCATGGCGTCACCGTTTTACCGGCGGACTTAAAAAAAATAAAACGGAGTCGTTCTTTGCCGCCCTTCTCAGCCTTAACTTCAAACAACACCTATATATTGGACCACTCTGATTTATAAACGTCGCATGCACCTTTTAAAAGGAATCTTTAGGCATATTCCTGAAATTATACGGAATAAAAAATTCTGTATACTTTCATCTGGTTGGGAATGTGGCGAGGTCACATTTCCGTTATATAAGATTTCATCGTCTCTTTTAGTATTAGCTGTATCAATAAAGTGTCCAGAGCTTATATGACAAAAAACAAGGACGGCAAAAATATATTTCAAATTATACCAAAGTAATAGTTGCAACTAATTAATGAGAACAGTTGCATTCTTTTAATATCTGACTTTCTTCAATGATGTATGCACTTGTCTTTATATCCGTTTTAGAAGATATTTTCATCAAACGTTTTGGGAATGTAATTTTTTTTTGTTGCAGTTATTCAGTGGCTGGAATAAATCTAAATCATTTTTTCCATCCTATTTAAGAGACAGTGTTGCAAAATACCATGAATTTATAGTGTTAAAACAAAAAAAATGTACACAAATGTCTATTTTTTTCAATTCAAAATAAGAGCTACAATTGTTTCAGCAGCAGCAAAAAACATTCTCCCACACTAGGTATTGTGGTTCTGGCATCAATATATAGATTTATGATTAGAATATACTCATTAAACTAGTAGCGGATTTCAAATGAATATGTTTACTGTGCTGATTTGTCCGTTTGCTCTTTCTAGAGTAATGCTAGGAGTCTGTAATGTTTTATTGTAACAAGGTGATACAATGTTTTCTCATTTATCAGTAACATTGTCTGCTTAGGTATTAAACCTAATGCTTGTAGCTCGCCAGCTGAAGTTTTGAAAGTGTTATTGTAATGGGTGACGATGGGAATCTGCCTGTTTCACAACCAGGAATATTTTCAAATAACTTGAGTCAAAGTCTTGGAAGCATGGGAAAAATGTAGCGCGTCCTTGTTTCAGCTTGCTAACTGCTAGTGCAGAAACAAGTAGAGGAGGGGCGGCAGTACCTTAGTATAAAGCCTGGTTGGTCTGAAACTGTCTCTAGTCTGTAATTAGAAGAAGCTTAAACTTTGGAACACAAACTCTGTTTCCATTGACAATAAAATTGTGCAAATTGCAATTGTGAAAATACATTTGTTTAGTGGAAACACGGCAGTTTTGCAAAAACTCTAAATTTTTTACAAAGTTTTTGCTCTGGGATGCGGTGGTTTTTCAGCTGCATGGAAATTGGTATAGTTTGTAAAACTGCAATGGAAACACTTTCTTCGCATCATACCAGTTTCTATTCATTAGCAACTCGCGCTAATTTGTAGGCACTGGCCTCCTCGAATGATGTGCAGCTAGCTCCACCAGAGCACTCGCATCATCACAAAGTCCGTCAAGACTTGAGTTTGTGATTTGGACGTGTTGAATCCTTCACTCTCCTGTAAAATTGTCAAACACAATTTCTTCAAAACACTGAATAAATACGTAGCCACTCCCAAGTATAAGAAGCTTGTCGCCTCAACAAGACGGTAGCGCTGTGGCTAAAATATGAATGTATCATATTTACGACTTACTGCATTAAGAAACTTATTTCTGTGTGGTTTTAATTATATTTCTTATTTAACACCGCAATTGCGAAATTGTTTCTTTTCGACATCGGCAGAACATATTTTGGAATGAAAACACAGCTAATGAGACGAAAAAGTTTCAAATCCACTTTTTGCATGGTGCAGAAACGTTTGAAAGCATATTCCCGAAGCAAGTGGGATTAAAGCAATCCAGTTTTGTTAATTTAAGATTCACTCAGATAAAGAATGCAGTCATTTTTTTAACTAGCTTTGATGAACTCTATGTTTAAGGAAAATAATGAAAAGCCTTGACCAAAGATAACTTGACAGGCGCTCCATCAAGGCGAGTATGTTTTATCTTCGTGCCCCAATGACAAAGAGCTGTCGGCATATATCTTGGTTAGTCGTTTGTTTCAGAGCCTTTAATTGCAGTCTGGCTCAGCAAACCTTTTCATCCTGCTGGAAAAAAAAAAAAAAGATCCAGATCCTGGGATATTAAGCCGTCATCCCTCTGGAGTCTGAGAGGTGTCACATTTTCACCAGGTCTCATCACGTTAACGTCGACTCAATGGGTAGGCTTTGTCAGTGCCATTAGTGTTTAGATGGCATGTCATTGTTTGCACTGTGGCAGGCAAACAGTCTGCGGTATGCATGCACTTCTTAATCGTTTGGAGAGTTGCAAACAGGGAGGCTTAGTGTCTGAACCAGAAGCAAAACGATCCACAAACATCGCAATAAATCCTACCGATTATTAAAACAGTTTATTGCAGCCTACATGTGTCAGTTTGGATGTGGTCAGGTACTCATCGGGAGTCTTTGTGGTTCGGTTTATCGGAACCATATTTGTTGGATCAGCTGTTTTCTGCCAAGAAGCAATAAAATGTTCTACTTTAATGCCTAAATATGGTTCCAGCAGCTTAAAGTGTCAAGTTCTTCTCTTCTTTCAGGACAATGTTCCTTAAAAAGTCAGGCTGGGTGACACTGAGCGTGTCATATCCTGTTATTGCATTATAGTCATCTTGTTAAATCAACTCCTGATATCGTATTGTGAAACTCTCTCTCTTGGGGTGGGTTCTGTTCGTATAACCAGTTTTGGTGCTGTTGTGAAGCCCCCTGCAGAGATTATTGCATTCCATCATTCATGTGTCAGCAAAGTCCACACACAAGCGCCCCCCCTGGGAGAGTTTTGTACCGTGGGCTAGACGAAATTAAATGCAGACGACTTGCACTGCGAGCTGAAGCAGTTCAGTGCTGTTGGAAGGTTTCAGTCTGAGCGTATCGCAGGATGTCTGGTGGTACTCTGAAACCCATGGCTGTTGTCTGCAGCAGGATGTCTTTTTGTTTTTTTTATTTTTCTTTAGGTTCTGAAACTATGAAAGCTTTGAAAGCCTTTCCTTTACAGGCCTTTGTTGACTTACTGGATCTTGCTTGATTGCAATTGTATAACAGAAGTATGTCTGCCTTTTTGAAAAACAAAATCTAGCTGCAAGAGTGGATGACAACTGGACTTAACTTTAATTTTTTAAAACTATAAGATCTCTAGGTAACCATATGAACTTCAGTTTGTTTTCTCACTTCTCAAGCACGTCTATACATTGTAGCTGTTTGCTGCCAGTTTGGGAAAGTCTTGAGAATATGGATAAGAGATGCTGAGAGGAATCGCCTGCATGATTTTGTTGTTCTTTGTTTTTGAGGCTGACTGGCCCGGTTGGACACGAAAATTCAATATTTGCCTAACGGTGAAGAAACAAAAGACTTGTCACAATAACAAATTTTGCTTGATGATAAATTGTCCCAGAAGTTATTGCGATATTGTTGTTTTGAGACCAATTTTATGTAGTAACTCCATTATAATGCAGCAGTAAAGGTATAATAATGCAAAAACATGTTCTCAAAGAAAAAAACTTTAAATTCTAGTGAACATTTAACACTGGAAGTGAAAGAAACTGTAAATATCTCAAATAAATGAACAAAGTTGATGCATTGAACTGAGTGTGACGGGGTGCGCATCAATTGTGCCATCTCTGCACTTGCCCGTTGGCTTCACACGCCATTATTTCTAAATTATGATCCCTGCTTGTGCAGCTCCAAATTTATTCTAACACAAAAATAAGTTTGGCAAGTTTTCTGGGGGAAACCCTGGATCAGGAAATATTCATAATCTAGAAATCTCAAAGTTAAAGTTTGAAATGGGAAATACAAATAATGTTCATATTTGTGGTTTGTCTTGTTCCCTTTTTTCTCTGCTGTGAAACAAACAATTCAGATTTATTGTTATTTTGCTGTAGAATTAGTAGTTGCTTCTTTGAACCAATTAGGTTTCAACCCATTTGTCCAATTTAGGAAAAAAAAAGTTTTAAACAACTGCATGCAAGTCTTTCAGATTGACACTCTGCGACCACTTGCTAACCCTAAGTGTCGATGCACATTTGAACCACCACTTCACAGATTTTTGACTTCTTCTTCTCTCACTGTATAGCTCACAGCCCCTCCTCCTCTTTCCTTCGCTCAACCTTCTTGTCACCACCCAGACCTTCCAGGCCTTTCCTCCATCCTCTTCCTCACAGCAGCACCTTAAAAGCCTCATTAGCGTCAGACAATGCCTGGAAATGACTCCGACTCAAACGATGTAAAGAAAAGACTTGAGGCACAGAGCAGGCCTTGACCAAACCCTTCAAATATATGTGCTTTGTGCTTTTCACCTCTGCGGTCTTGGCGTATTGCTTGATTAAACATCACCGCCCTTCAATCTGTGGTGTGCCAGTTTAAAGATTGACTTCTTGACAAAGGACCTTGATAAACCCTCATATTTTACCCCTCCAAAAAAGCGTAAAAAAAGAAAAGCTTTTTGACAGAAA